GAAAAAATAATCGTAGTCTATGTCCTGGCAGAAATAAGCCATTATACACCCTAAATATCAATTAGAATAAACACTGTTTTGATTTTTATTTCACAATACCTGATGTTTTTCTGCCCAGGCATCAGTCATATTGCACACACTTGCTTTACGGTGTATGATTGTAACTAAATCCACCTCATTTAATCATTCCAATAAATCTACACCTCAGTAGAAACCACTAAATGAGATGTTAATAGCACACTAAATATACCAGTTAGACAGACTGTACATATAAAATATGAAAGTACAGTGAACAGTATTTGCACTTGATTAAGTGTTAGACTTCTGTTCATTCTCCACGACAAAGCTACATGAGAATCATTAGCAAACACACCTCGTCCATATTTCTGAAGAATTGCTCCTGTTTAGCATCTGAATATATTCAAGGCCACTTCTGTCTTTCTGAGAGTATATAAGGATGTCTGTGGGCAGAATTTATGTTTTAAAACAAACATTTGCAACGAAATAACAAGAGTTAGGACAAGGCTTGTATACTACAGCTAAATCTCCTTGTACAAAAGAAAACAACTAATTGCAACAAAACCTAGATACCCACTTTGTTCCTGGTAAAATACGATGGGTGGGGCTTTATTTAAGGCATTTAATCCTAAATGCCACCAATTATTTTAAGAAACCTTATGATGCTTCCTTGGTCCTTTTGTTTGGCTTCAGTCTGTGGTACAGGGCACCAGTTCTGCAATAAATTCTGCTAAGCTGAGGACTGTACATCCCCCAGCAAGTGTTCTCTGCCTTCCCTCTCACTGAGGCAGAGCAGACTCTGTGACTTTGTGGGGCACAAAGTCTTTTATGTTTTAAACAAATGGCACATATTACCTCCACATGTCACTTCCACAGCATGCAGTGCAAGGCTGCCAAGCAGAACTGGAACTAGAACTTATCAAGACAAAAAGCAGAGAAAGACATTTTCCCCCCAATATATTTTCCAGCCTCCCAGATTCAAGCCCTGTCAAGATTACACACAGAAACACTGCAACATAAAACAGACCAAGAGCCTCTAAGGTCTAAAAATGGTATTTATATCTGTATTCACTAGCCCACGTTCTTCAGCTGAAGCCATGACAGTGAGTTCTGCTCATTTTACAGATGACAGTGTTTTATGTTCACACACACTATCTGTCTATGGGTGACAGGTTATTCATAAACTGCTTGTCCTCGGAAACTGAAACTGTCCTAGGAAAGTGAAACTTCTTTCCTCTAACTACTGCCCCTAAACATTGATTTCCCACGGGGTCCATCCTGACAGGCACACTTCAAAGTACCAAGCTGGACCAAGCAGCCACCACTTGCCCACCACAACTTTTTTTAACTAGAGCACTCAGTTGCTAAACCAATTTTTATCACCTTTCCCCTCCACTTGAAGTGCAGCCTTAATGCTGCACTATTACATCCCATCCTGAAGTTTAGTGAAATTGCAATTGTCTTTATTCTACCCTCACCTTGAATTCTATAATTCATTTAGAGAATTCAGGTAAAAGGGTATGACATGTCTTCCACTACCCACCTATAACATTTTCTAGGTCCCAAATCACTCTTACTTCTTTTTATTTTTTCTAAAGTTTCCTTCATAGAAAAGAGCAATTTAACAAATCTGTAGATTCAGAATCTCTCTCTATTCAAGTAGTTATACCTCTGTCCTCTGCATTTGATGCTGTAATTTCTTCCAGAATGGATGTCTCTGGTTTACTTACCATTTTCTGAAGAAATCCTAACATATATTCTACCTGATTCTGGGCCCATTGCTCTGTCCAGTTTTACTGATGGTGATGGCACAGTGTTATCCTGCCTTGTCATTTCAGCTCACCTCAGCTGCATTCTGTTCTCATCTATTACCCAAATTTCAGTGTATCCACAGGAAATCTTATTTGTCACTAGTTTATTGTCTCACTGTTTATATACACATAACTATGTGTTTGTAAAGTTTTTATTGCATTCATCTCCACTTCTCTTTCAATTTTTTGAGTCACTTAAACTATGGCAGTATCTCTTCTAATGCTGAAGCATCTTCAAGTCTTGGTCTGTGCCCTTTCTGCACCACCCTCCTGCATGACCATTTCCACACCTTTGACACAATTTGGTCTTTAATTGCATAGCCCAGTGTACTGCATTTACAGTAATGTAATTCCTTATGCTTAAGATCTTTTGCTAGTCAAGATGTGTGACAGCCTGATTATACAGGGGTTTGATTTTTTAAAATATTCTATTTTCTCTTCAATATTTGGGTTTTCTTTGGTTATTTTTCATAAATTCCCAGCAATCATTATATTCATATTCATATTATTTCTGTTCCTGTTTATTTCTCTGTGCTTTTCACAACAATTGCAAACATCACAAATTCCTGCCAGAGTAATTGAGTTTCTATTTGCCAGTAGTCCACAATACAATTTAATTCAACTCCATATGTTTTCTTTTCTAAAACAAAAATAGCAGTATCCTGGGTTTTTTTATAAAGACAATCACTATTATATTCACTAAAGCCAAAGAGGATCATTGCTCTGATTTTACTTTTTATAACACTGCTAAAATAGATTGTTGAAATGGAATGCAGAATCATGCACAAAGCCAGTCCTTTTCCTCTCATCATAAAATCATCATTTTTCTGTTTCTGGTTTTGCTGAACAATATTAAAAAGATTTCCTACTGAACCACAGAGATGTATTATTTCAGCAGTAGTTGGAACCACTGTTTTGTGTGTGTACACATCTATAACATGTAAACATTTATAAAGCACTTGCAGATGTCTCAAGGAGAACAGAAACATTTATCTTATCTTCAGCTGGTATTACAGCAAACATATCACCTTGACTTTTATCTATGTTTTTCCAGTCTGTATTGCCTGAAGATAAAGCCCTAAAATACTACAAGCCAACAGCAGTTTATAGCTGTCCTGACATGCTCACTCCTCTTTCCTTGTGCCAGCCCCAGCATTTGTGCAAGGAAATGCTGTGGCAGGTAACTGATGACCTATCACTGTTGAACTTGGTAAAAAAAGAGGCAGAAGTGGCATTTCTGCTATCATGGGCAAAATGGGAACATTTCTTCAATTAGCATCCAAACTTATTAAAACCTCATGTAACCACAGAACGACTGGCTCAGAAAATCAAACCAGTACTTTATATTGTGTTTTATAATTTACTAAAATGCAGATGATTCTAACATTAGTCTGTTAGCAGTAATGACTATTCCATGCAGTGCTGGATTATTCTTGTCCTTAGTGACTTCAATAATTATTAGACTGCAAACCTGTTTCTATCATCTCCAGTTGTCCTTCCAATTTATGCTTCCTAGTCAGAATATAAGAACATATTTCCCTGTATTTCCATGCATATCTATCTCAAAAAGGCAACTATATCTACATTTGCATGTGCCATTCAACACATACTAAAAATATATATACACAATATGCAATGTATATACAATATTTCTATATATGAATATATATATATTGTAGTAGCTCGGGTTTCAATAGAACTTCGAGAGTAAAAACATTATTACATTTCTTTAGTGCCATTTTAATACTACAACATTACTAGATAAAAAATATGCAGTAGGAGTTTTTGGCACATTAAAGGTATGCAAATGAAGAAAACCAGTGTGAAAACATAGGTTTTATTAACTAATCCAAACATCCCATTTTTAAATAAATGTAATTAATATAATTAATGTAATGATAATAATAATAAAAGAAAATACTACAGTCAGGCTGTTCAGTACTCAGACTTCTCTGAAATTCAAGTTGTCTGTGCTGCAATTTGTATTTACTGTAATCAAAGACCAAAAATATATTGCAGTGAGTTTCTCCCTGCTATCACCTGTTGGTCTTCAATACAGACAGGCCAAGGTTTAATTTGCCCAACACTTCCAGTACATTTTTCTATTCTTTATTCAATCCTTAACGAATCATTTTAGCTTTAAGTGCAGGGATGCTTTGGCATTGGTGGAAAGCACCCAGATAAAAGTCATATCAAAACCAATCTGATGGCTGCTAATTCAGCAGCTGACAGGACAATCTTGGTGAAGGACTTCAGCTTGAAACAGGAATGACATCAAAGCTCACTGTCCTTTAAGGAATTGTTTGGCCAATATACAAGAGTCTGAAAAATTAATATTCTATCCACTGTGCCCCAAGCTGCATGGAATGTTATCCAGTACATTCCTCAGTTCCAATTGTTGTCATTTCCAAAAAAACCTCCTAACGTTTAGTTTTCTATTACTGTAATTTTATTTAAAAAGTATGAACACCCAGAAAAGACAAAAAATAGCTTTTTATGAGACAAATATAATTCATAAATGCATGAGTTACAATTCAGTACTACTTCAAGAGAGAGTCCTCACAAATCCAACCCTCCTTTGTACTTATACGAGATATTTGCTTTTCTTTCTCTACTGAAAGAGAAACATAAAACCAATCCTAAATAAATGACATGCCATAAATGAATACTTCACAGAAAGCATGGCTGGCTTTCATGATTTCTTGTTTACAAAACTGAGAAATCTTCAAAATACACATTAAAAGATTTATATTTTAAAAAAGTAATGATTCTGATGCAAGGAGTCAAATAACAACCACATGATGCTAGCATAAAATACAATTATCCTAATTTAAAATGTATCTCATTAAAACGTAAAGCCAAAGGTGACAGCACATACCATCCACACTTTATAAAACATGAGCACCACTCAAAAGCTGAATTACACTAGCTCAAATGATAGTAGTCAGTGCAGCAAATATAAAGTTCTTTCCTCTTTGCATTCCAAAAATTATTTCCTTCTTCCTAAGAAGTCATGCACAAATCAATTTCCATCATGTCCATTTGCCAGAAGATGCCTTAAAACATATCATTGCAAAATCCAGCCATCATAATTTACCCGAATGCAGCCGGCTGACAGGAGATATTAATGAGGCTGACAGGTTTGTGGTGTCTCTGCAGTAACAGACTCACCTCGGCAGATGGTCCCGTTGCCCACGTACCCAGGTTTGCAGGTGCAGCTGTGTCCCCTGATGGTGTTGGTGCAGATTGCATTCTCATCACAGTTGTGCTGCCCACTGCCACACTCATCATGCTCTAAGTGGAGAGAGGGAAAAGGAAAAAAAAAATTTTTAGCTTTTCAGTGGGCTTATGTGGCATTTGAGACTCGGCTATGGGCTTGCTTCAGTTCAGAAACCCAGTAAGTGCATGGCAACACCAGATTATTGAGATTCAAAAACAGAAAAAAAAAAACAATTGGTGAGGAGCTAAACTATGGCTGTGATAAAAAGCTATGAAGAAGATTATCAGGGAAACATATCTGCTGTGAAGATTAACCTTTCCACCACTGTCCATCACCAACAGTAATGATCATAAATACAAGCCCAGTAACACAGGAGGGGCCCCACCAGCCCTCCCTTTAACTACACAGCTCACTTGTCACAACTGCTTGCTCTAACTCATGTTGAACTGACTCGAACAGCACACGGTAACATTTCACATTTTTAGAGCACCAATCATACCATGGAGCCTCAAAGAGGCTCCCACACAAACAGGACATATTTTGCTTTCATCCAGCAACTTCAACTGCTGCCCCGAGCCAAATTTGCCACAGCTCCTGCACTCCACTCTCCTGCTCCCTTTTTGTTCTTGAAAAGCAGCAGTGAGAGGTGATGAGCTACCTGACCCCAAAGCTTTCTGCTTCCTCGGCAATTACAAGGAGCTCCCCTCCTATAGGATTGCACAAAGAAAACCTGAATATTTTACACTTTTGCACCGGTGCCTTTAGAAGTTTTTTTTTTTCAGTGGAATCAAAAGAATGCAATGAATTTTCTTAAAGCCACACAACAGATAATTGACATAATAAAAAATCAGAATTTGGAACCCTTCTTTGTAGCCTTGATTTATGCAACTGCTAGCATCAGGCTGATATCCATATGCTGAGAGGTAAAAGCTATGCTTTCCTGGAATTAGGATTTCCTTAAGCTTTTTACCAGTGCATCAGTGTTCAAAGGACTACAGACTAAGTCTAGCCTTCTATAGATCACAGAGAGGCAGTGCCCCTAAAGCACGAGCAAAATACTTGTTTTTGCAGACTAAACCAAGCCCTTTGGAAGAGTCTCTCCATTGAGAACAGCAGCACCACAAGCTTCAACAGGCTACAATTAACCTCTGCAATGCTCCTACTCTGCCACAGTACAGAACAACAGCCAATTTCAAGATAATTCAAGACACATGTAAGACTTGAATGGTGAATTCTAAGGAATCCACTAAACCAAATACTTCTGGAACACTGTTGATAACTATTTACAGAACATATGTCCAACATGTTTTCCATTTTTCAAATACATTTGACAGCAAAATGATATGGATTGCAACTATTTTCTCTTAAATAGCATCAAAGCAATGTATCAGCCTCTCACTCTTTGCTTTTAGCAAGAAACACACACACTCTCATATGTGCCTGGCTTCAGCTGATAAACTCAGGCTTGAATTTATACTTGTTAGTTTATGCTGGTCCCTAGCTCTGCTTAGAAATTCACTTCAGCTTCTTGAAGGGCTGCCTGTTCTCTCCTTCATCTTTGAGGAAATTGTACCACAGGCTGATTCTTTGCTGCTTTGGTCTCATGGTGCTCAGGCAGCTGGGTCAGACACAAAAAGTGCCAAGCTACCCTCCAAGGAGGTGTTTTACTGCAGCTGAAGCTGAATTATGTTTTCTTTTAAAAGAGCCACCCTCTCCATAATCTCTCCCTCCTCTTCCTACTTTTAATTGTTATTAGCTTTCCTTTGAATACTTTCCTTGATTACTTTTGTCAGCATTCGAACCATAATGAGAATGCCTTTGTGATAGGCCCGTGTGTGTACACCAGAACATTCCTACTCAAACAATTGCCAAAATTAGTCTATTACCTTCTCTGCACTTCAAGTATAAATAAAGATTTCCCAGTGCTACCAGATGTGTTTTGCCAAAATACACAGGAGAGGATAAGTCTGCTGTGTTGTTCTAGGACTCTGACAATGGAAATCACTCTTTAGCATTTCTGCAGATGTACAGATGCTGGAAACATCAAAAGATTTAGCACTGACAGAGCAGCTATCCCACAGTATTACTTTGGAAACAGAAGTCAGTTTTTCCAAAGCTGATATAATTTAAAGAGTCAGCAACAAACCTGAACATGGGAACCTGCCCTCCATGAGATATCCTGATGCTGCTAGCACAAGGAGGACTAAGGGAACCTCATCTGCATGAGGAATCCCGAGATTTCTTAGCATAAATATGGCTGCAACGATGGGAACTTTAAATGAAGTTTTCCCTGGTGCAGGGATATCTATAGTTGATGTTGCTACAGGCCTAATAAGAAGAAAAAAGCATTGATTTCCTGCCAAGGTATAAAACTCTTTTCATCCAGATGAAAAATCCTTAAGAATCTCTCAATATTAAGTTTTCCTGGGTCTCATGTGCCCTCACAGGAGCTCATCCTTTGGAACACTTTACAATGGGAAGGGACCATGGAAAGCAGGCTCATGCTCTTTTTAAACTCAACGGAGATTGTGACTAATTTGCAAAGAACTGCTGTCATACACACATTGCTTTCCAAAAATCCCCATTCAAGCACATCAGACAGATCCTGCTTTTGCTTTCACGTTATGGTAAATACTGACTAGACAGCAACAAAACTGGCAGAGAAGGACCCTGCACAGCAAGTGAGAGGAGTCACAAACAGCATCAATCCAAAGCACCAAAGAGGGCAGAGCCAAGACAAAAAGCCCAAAGTTGTCTTGTTTTGACTATTTCCCTTGTAGCTTGAAAAGAGAAGCACAAGAAAGGGACTCCAGCAAACGAAAACAGAAGTAAATTTTAGTTTTTATATCCACACATATATGTACATGTAAACAAATGAACTGCCATGCTCAGGAATGAAACTGTCACCATTAAGTCTGACTGAAGTCATCCATCTCTCTGATTTCAATTTGCTATATAATATACACAAAATGAGCTCATGATCAAAGATGAAAAGATGAAAAGAACAGGCTTACTGAGGACAGAATTCCTTGACCCAACTCTCATTCACCTGAATTATTAATGTTTATTTCAAGAACAGCTACCAGTGTTGATGAACAATTACAACAGCACCATTCTTTCCACACAGACAAGTTAATTTGTTTATGAAATCTCTGTGAACTGCCTTCAACATCAGCATTTCCGTTACTCAGGATTGTTGTTGCATCTATTTCATGTTTTATGGTAAAGCCACAAGATCAGTCAGTTTATTAAGCCTTTCCATCCCCCATAAAACAAGGATAATCCAAGATTCTGCGTTTTCCCTAGCATTTATCACTCTTCTGAAATCCTCAGATACTGAAGATTTTACAGAAAATTAAAGGATATCAATCTTCTATTGCAAAAAAAAGGAAGAATCAAATGTCCACTGCTCATTTCCTTTCTACTTTATTTATTCCTCCTGCAAGCAGAGATGAGGGATGGAAGGATACATCATCTCTGATGTTCAGCTCTCCTGGCCCTATTTCCTACCCACCAAGCTACTGCTAAGGCCAGAAAAAAATACACATTTAATCTTAATGTTTTCTTTCTGGACAAAAACTGCCTAAAATGTTCAAAAGCTTTGATGAACTTTTCCAAAATGTTAGAGAGGATCTTCTGCGAATTTTCCAAGTGCCCACCTAAGTCAGGCCATCTTGTGAAGAAATTACTCTGAAATTTGTTTTTTCTTCAGCCTTCACCTGAGAGTGGCCATCTGCCCCCAAAAGCATCAGTAAGAGAGTAATCATCCTTTTACAAAAACACACCTTCATCACACATTTTGTATGATTCTACACATCACCTTAGCAGTCCACACCAGCAATATCACAGGTCTAATGTTTATATGTGGGTAGTTTCACACAACATATGCACAGTTGTAGAAGACAAGTATTACAGTACCTCCACTTTGCTCAGAAGCAGCTAATCAATGTTTATCTTGACAGTGACAGAATTAATTTCAATACTGCATGGCCTTAGAGAGATAACAATTGCATTAAAAAGTGAAGTTAATTCACCACGAGATAGTTTCAAGTAGCTGGTTAGTTGCCCAGTGCATCCTCCAACAGCAGAAAACCTGCCTGCACCAAAACTCAGACTGGTCTGAGCACCCTGATCCTGGAGCACACACAGCAGCTCCCAGGGACAGCACAGTGGGAAAACAACCACTTCCCTTGGAAGACATGAGCACATGGAATGAGTAAGAAATTGCTGAAAAAAGCACACTGAGCAGGCTGCCAAGGCAGCTGTGAGCACCCCGTGTCCCCCTGCTTGAGGAGTGGATCCCAACCAAGCCAAGAGCCCAGCACAACAACATCCACCATGCACATGTGGGAAAACAACAAATAAGTAACCAGAATGCTCCAAAAATGGCTCCTAAATCCCCTTAAAATGGCTCTAAAATCCCCCCAAAATTTGCCTTAAAATACCTCCCAAAATGGTTTCAAAAGCTGCTCCCAAACGATTTCCAAAGTTGCCCCAAACATACCCAGTTGCTGACAGCTGATCCCTTCAGTGTGAAGTATAAACTGAAATATCCAAACAAGGATAAAAAAAGTCAGCAACCTTCATGTGCACATATTTCTGTCCAATTCTTTTTACCACAACTTTTCCAGACTAATCTCTGCAAAGGATTGACAAAAATACTTTTGTTATGTGGTACTTCAAAAATACCTTCTGTTCTGGGCTAACTGAACTGGAAGAACACAGGAGGAAAAGCACTGGAGGCAGAAGGAAAGGTGCCAGGCAAAGACTTTGCCTGCCTGAGGTAACACATTCTGCATAAAGCCACCCACATGACACTGCAAAACTGTTTGGAAGTAAAAACAACCACAAAAAAATAATTCAGAGCACGTGCAAGGTACAAAAAAGGATTTGTCGTATATTTATGAAAGCAAATGCACACATATCTAAACATACGTATAAACAATTAGAGGAAAATGCAAATTTTCTCTCTCCATATGTACATGAAATGTGTTGTTTGTGAAACATTCTAGGCAGCTCTGACAATTAACATCAGAAGCATTAGTCAAAAAAAACCATAGTTCTATATTTTTGA